ATACGTTTCTGCCTGTCAGTGCATATGCCTGCATCTTGAGTAGAAAGGCAGTGGTGCTGCTATGCAGAGCCCATAGCACGCCGCTGGCGACTACCGAGAGCCGGACAGAATCTCCACTGTACAGACAGTGTTTGCCAGTTAGTCAGCGAGTCTGAGTTTTGAATTGCCCGTGCACAAAGCATAGGCTGAGGCGACAATGCCAGCCTCCCAGCAGCCCCAGCTGCTGCCCACAAGGCAGCTACCGCGCGGAGTTTTTGATATGGAGCATTTCAAACGAAAGCTCCTTCATAGGATCGCGCCATGGGCCGCCCAGCTCTGCATGGCACTTAAAAGCTGTGCTCGTCGCACATCTTTAATGTAGCCACCCAAGGGCTGAGCAGACAAGTTTTAGACGGAGTGCGACGTCAGTGGCAAAAACAAACATCAGTAATCAGCCTTGAAGCCTTGCGCGCTTGGACCCTTGCTCCCTTCAGTCCTCTTGCCTAAAATTCCCGAGATTTTCGGGCCCTACGGAAAAGCCAGAGGCTTCAGTTTTTGGTCATGGGGGGGACCAAGAATCTCGGAATTTTTTTGGTTGCGCGCCCCGAATCTCTACCCCCCTTTTCTGCCTGATTTATCTGTCTCTGCGGCTCGGTGGTCGGTGTAGATGACACTCCCCACTCCTTTTGGAGCTCTTAGGAAAATCTAGCGGCTCGAAAATCTCCGTGGATAGGCAGGACCGACCTAAGTTCTCGAAAATTTTGGTTCTTCCCCCCGCCAATCTACCTCTGATCAACATTTGCCGCGTTGCGATGCAATCGTTCTGGTGCCTCCTTTTGCTGGGCCATTCTTCTGCAATGGACCCCGAAGCGCCTGATTCATGGTTGGGGAATTCCCTGCTGGGGAAGATTTTGGAGTCCCGTTGTCATTGCCATCAGCGCGGCCTTGGACTTGTCCGTCGGTCCATCAGTGCCCCAGTCTGTCGGTCTTTCCGACTGACAGTCTGTCAACGTGTTCATCTGTCAGTCGGTCAGTCAGTCTGTCTGTCTGTCTGTCAATCCGTCGGTCTATTAGTCGGTCGGTCAGTGAGTCGGTCTGTCATTTTATGCTGTCGAATCGGTCGGTCTCTGAATCTGCCGGCCTAAGGTTTTGAGATTTTGTCTGTAAATCGCTTTTGCAAGTTATCGGTCTAGATTTTTCAACGTGGTCAAAATAATATATATCTATATAGTATAGGATGGAATTGCCATATGAGGGTTCCGCCCCGGCGGCTTACAAGGCGGCGCCATGTGCATATGCAGGTTTTGGACTCTCCCCCATAAAGGCGCTAGGATAATAGAAGTGCTGGGGACATTCCTTTGATCATAATACCTGTCGGCGTCGATTCCAAAGATGATATAACCTGAAGACCGTTACCTGCAAAAAACTAAAGCTATAGATTGGGGCAAATTGAAAGAGGGATGATATCGATAATGAAAGAAATCTAAATCGAAGAAATTGTCGATCTAGAAATATTCTTAATCCTATGATATCATTCATCGTCTCGTTTTCTTATTAAATTATCTGAAACCAGATTCGGAAAAAGAGATCTCAAAAAGATAATTTCAATCATAATAGAATCTCAAAGAAAAATATATCTCCTCTATTATATATATATATGAGATAATGATAGATGAATTCTTGGAGGAGAATCGAGGATCTTTTTTTTTTTTAAGATGATGACCGAATTTTGATATATCTGATATCTATTAGGACCGTCAATATTTGTTGCAATAAATCTAGAACTAGAAAATATATATTTTCTTCATATCTTGAATAGATCAATATGATCGATTCTAATCTATTCTCTAATTATATTCGACGAAAAATTAATGAATTTCTTATCGAGACGAAATTTCAAGAATATGATCTTGGAATCTAATTTTCTTCTCAATTCAAGACAATGAATTTCAATTTTAATATTTCGTCTAACAAATTTCGCTATGATCTAACTATTGATAATCATCTTATCCGAAATTTGAAGATATCATAAATAAATTTCTTCAATATCGATTAAATAATATAGATAAATGATTTGATTAATTACTATTATTAGATTATAATTGATAAAACATATATATGGAGATCTAATATTCATATATTCTCGATCATATAATTCATCTTGGGAGACTAAAAATTTCAATAACTTTAATAGGATATATCTTCGATTTGGATTATCAAATTTCTTATTTTGGAGAAAATAATCTATGAAATCGAGATGAATATTTATAATCTCTATAATAATATCATCTATCATAAATTAGAATGAAATGATATTATAGAAATTAAGATTCTCGAGATAGAATATATTTGAATGATAATAGATAGATTTCTTGATAGGGATAATTTCAATTATAAATTTCAAATCTTTCAATTTATCGTCGAAACCTAAATAGATATCTTCTTTCTATCTTATTATCATTTCATATATTTGACGGTAGGAATTTATCTTATTTCTCTAATGAGATCGGAAAATGATGAGAAATAATTCAATGAATAATTGATAATCATATCTAATCTTGATTTATTCAAATATTCAGAAAGATTTCTCATATTTTTCTTCTTTAATATCGAAGAATTCATTCATAAAGAACTAATATATTATTATTGATATTTTAAAGAATTGAATATCATAATCTATCTTAATTTGAGCCGGAAATTCTTGAAATCCTAAATTTTGGAATTCCGAGATATGAATTTATCATTCGATAAAAGGAAGATAAGATACGAATTGAATCGTAATCTTAAATCCTTGATATTATTTGATATCCGTCTATCATAGAAAATATATTCGTTATTTGAAATTTATCTGATTGGGACCCACGGATACAAGAAGATCCTTTAGAATACGATAAGTTCGCAACAGACAAGATAATATCTATTTTCTGTATCATTCTTTTAGATAAGAATGGGAGAATTCCGAGAATATTTAGAATATTTGATATTATGATTGAATATTAAATGAATAATAAATAATCATATTGATAATTCGGAATATTCAAGATCTCTTTATATATGATTATTTCTCTAAATTATTGTTCTTAGAATGGGAGAATTTTATATAGGATTCCGTATTATAATGGGAATCCAAATATAGGATTCCGTATTATAGGGAATTTAGACCAATATCTATATGATTTAGTTTTATGAAGATAGAAATAATTTTCATGACGCAAAATCGTTAATAATTCGATAATATATTTTGAATAGAATAATTATTTAAATTTCATTCGTGGTTTCCTCTCTAGATCATTTAGAAATTAGCTAAAATAAATTCTTCATCATTATATAATCTTATTATCTTTTTATAAAAATAGATTAAATAGGAATTCGATTTATAAATCTATTCGACGAGAAGAAATAGAGATTAGATATATCATCATTTTTATAATATAGAAATTGATAATAATAGAATATTGAAGATTTTAAAGATAATTATATTCAAAGGAATATATCTTTTCTCGAATATAAGAAGACCTCATAAATATTCTATAATAACGATCGTCGATCGATGAAAAGATAATCGAATTTCAATCCCTTCCGTATCCAAACGAAAATTTGATTTAAATTTAATTTATGCAAAAAAAAAAATCATAATCATTGGTTTGCATTACTATATAATAAGATATCTTGATTTATCAATCATTTTTATTCGTAGAATATTCTCTAGCACTATTAAAAAAATTAAATATATCAAGAACCTTCATATATTTCCAGAAATTCAGAAGATTATATAGATTTCTAAATATAAAGAATATCTAATGATTCTCAGCAAGAAATCAATTCTCAAATCAATATATCTCTATCTAAATCTTATCGACTAAAATTGAAATAATTTGAAATCAAATCAAAAGAAAATTCAGAATAGATATTTCTACCTATATTAGACGAGATATAATATCTCCTTTATTTCATAATTTCGATTCATAAGATCAGAATTAAGAATATATTTTCGTATCCTATTCATCCCAGAAATGACGTATTATCATGAAAAATATATAGGAATAATATCAAGATTATTTTTTGAATATATCATTATATTCGATTTTTAATCGCAAAATTTCTCTTTCGTAGATCAATTTATATGCCTCGAATTAATAATCAAATGTCTTTTTAAAAAAACATCTTCAGAAAATAATTTAAAAATTAATATCTTTTCTATTTAGAATCTTCTCATCTTAAAAAATAGACGATAATTTTTTTATTTTATAATAGGTCCTATATTTCAAATATCTCTTCCGGATTGCCGAGAGGTGAAAAAGAAGAAATTCAGAAATTCTCATATTTAAGGGGTTTCCTCAAATTAAGAATACCTTTTTTAGAATCTATTTTAATATTTCCTCATTTTAGGAAATTACCATTTTTTCTTTAATAACAACAGAAATTTTAGATTTCTATAGCTAATGCAATATAAAATATATTTCAATATAATTCCTATTCGAAAATATATATATAATCAAGCCATATATATATATTTATCGTATGAAAAGAATTGATTTTTTTATAGTATCAATAAAATATACGCCGACAAAAAATAGATAGTTAAATTGCAAATAACCAGCCTGCGATCTCAAAAAAATCATCTTTGCTTATCATAATTCTTAATTCTAAAATTTCGCTATATCTTTCAATAGACGATAAAATTTCTGAAGATCTTTTTTCATTTCCGAGAAGTATGAAGAGTTCTAAGTATAATTATTCTGTAGAATATAGATATCATCTATTTCGATCTTCGTCTAGGAACCGAAATTTCAAAATTTTCGAGAATTCCAAATGATAATGAAGATCTGGGAGCCTGTAGTGATCCCTTGCTTGAGAACCTGTTTCATGGATAGGTCCCATAAGTAGAAATATATAGAATTGGGCAATTGGGTTTGCTGAATTTATTTCCTGTTTCCTTGTTATGCCTAGCCCCGAGGAAATTGCAGCATCCCCATCAGGTCCTTTTTCTGCAGCTGTCGGCTCTTCGCAACGTTCTTTTGCTATTTACTGAACAGAGGGGCTGTCCAGGGCATCCGTGCTGGAGGTTGGCTTTCCTTCGCCTGCAGAACAGCAATCATGCGATTCCAATGCCGATGAAAAATTGCTGCAAATTCAGTGCAAACCTGAACGCATCACTATCAAGAAATGCGTGCGGTGCGGTCTGAACTTGCAGTAACAGTTGCCTTTGGGGCCAACGTGCCATACCCAGGCACATTGAAGCCTGCAAGCAGGTGAGATGACAGGCGCTATCGGTCCCTGCCACCGGGCGCACGGCTCAAAGAAGGCAAGCCCCCCCCACCGAAGAGGTTCGGCGGTGTAAGGCCTGCTGTGACATGCTCGCCATCATCATCTAGGAATGCGGAGGCGCAACTACTCTACCCAAAGTCAGCACATTTGAGCTACAAATCAACTTGGACATCCGCCTGCCTGCGCACAGCATGACTCCATGCAATGAATGGGCAGCATGTTTGTTTGGTTTGTCCATGTTTGTACTGCGGCAGGTCCCCACATATCATCATGACCAACGTCGACTGAGGACCAGGATTTTCACAGGTACTGCCGTTCCGATATTCCGCAACAAGCTTACCAGCTGCTTTGCTTCGAGATCAACCGACTTGAGATCCGGACCAGCCTTTGACCACACCGGGCTGCTCAATCCTCAAGGAACAAATATGTCTGCAGTGCAGCACAACTTGTACTGGAGGGCCCGTCTCATCCAAAAGCTCAGTGCTCTTGCGACAGACACTTGGCATGCATGTTGATACAATGGCAATTCCTTGCTTCAACATTCCTGAGACATGGGCGGTGCTTGCCCAGGATAACGCCGTTGAACGGGGGATTGGGGGGATGGCCAGCCGGCAACGTCAGCTGTGGGTCTGCTTTCCACAGGCGATGGTAGAAGATGAGGCGTCGGCGCCGAAGGCGCCGAAGTTGAACTGCAACGGAGAAGCTCTGCTCTGCTCTGCCCGCTCCCTTTGTACACGCCCCAGTTCTTGCGCACAAGACTGCTGCTGAAGGACAGTCTTTGGATGCTTGTCTATTCCAAGTCGTTCTGCTCGGATTTGTTGCGAATGAAGGATTTGTGCATTCTGGGTCCAGTCCTGTCCAGTCTTCCTGTCACTTGCACGATGCAGAAACAGCTGCTCGCGTTGCCACACCATCTCACGGACATTGGACGCATTTGTGGGCTTGCATCCAGCCGTGAGCAACTGGATCCCAACACGATTCAACGCTAGTCTTACATGCGAATCTGTCGAACCATTCTGAGGAATGTAGGCATCATGTTTATAAAAATTGGGTGACAATGATAACATTCCCTGGCCCTGGGCCAGAAAATCCCTACAGATATGATTTTTACTTTGAATCTGATTGCAAACTACAATTTCTACACCAACAAATTACCTACATGCAACCTTGGTTCAGCGTGTTGCGATCATTCCAAAAAAACTCACGGTACTGAAATTTAAGTCCGAAAAACCATGGCCCGCACTCTTGAATCACATCTAATTCAGTCAAACCTCGTTCCCTAGTCTTACTACAAAGACCAATAAGGAGAGCTCCAGTCCCAGAGTCTTTCAGTACGGCCCCTCCTTTCCCACAGCTTTGTTCGTCCGCCCACAACTCCATTTTTACGAAACCTACATTAGGGGATTCAAAGGACTTCATTAGCTTTGTGATTTCACTTTTCACAAAGCGACATGTCATGCCTACAAGTCAATGGATATTCAAGGCATCAGCGGCTAGCCCTTGGCACCTCTGGAAAGGCGGCGGCGGAGGAGGCAGATGCCTTTCTTGCCTGTAAACTGGAACCTTAGACATGTGCCTGCTGTGTCTTTCTCAACGTAGAACTCAGTCGTCTCAAGCGATCAGGTCTGTTGAGGTGCTAGCCGTGGGTGGGATCCCGAAAACGTCGGGAGCGGAATGGTCCCGACTCCTGGGCGCATTGAGCACAATGTCCTGCGCTGATCACAAGATTTGCTAGAATGTCTCAGTGCGCTGGCCCTCTCTTCACGAGAGACTTGACTATGGAGATTCGCGCGCGACACTCAGCATCATGGCATGGTTGCAAGCAAGGCCACTCCATGCTCTGGCATTGAATAGCTAAAAAAGAGTTTCCTTTGCGTCTTGAAGCCGTAGACATCAAAGTCACAGCACAGATGTGCACCTTTTAAGGGTAGCAGCTGCCTAAATCTGCCAAGCGGCGGGGGGGGCTGATGGTATGCTTCAGGACGAGGCTGCGGAGCGTAACTGGTTCCATGAACCTCAGCAAGGGTCGCCCATGCTGGCATCATCCCATGCGCAATTACTTCTCAATTTGACAGATTTGATGACATACTGGTGTCTGTATTGTTGTACAGAACAAGAATCGAAACATGATCATGGAAGACACTCGATGTTGCTGAACTATGTGTTGCTGCTATGCTGCATTGATCGAAGCTCTACTTCGCTGAGGGGAACGCTCGGAAGGAGCCCTCGCGGCCCTCCACGTTGTGGTGCACAAGCTCGGACATGCACCTTTGCGGTGTTCTGGCCTGCAGTTACAGTCGGTGAACGGGATTTCTCTGAATTTGCATAAGAATCTAGACTAAGCAAACCGCTGGCTGAGCCGGAGGAGGGAAATCATCTGACGGTGGTCGCGATGAGCTGCATCCAGCACCGTTGCTTCCACTGCCTTCCCAGTTGTCAAAACACCGCCTGCTGCATTGCCCGAAACTCTTCATCAACCCCTTTGGATTGGGGAGGTTTGCCCGGCTTTCATACTAGCCCCAGATTTCAGCACCGGTTCCGACTTACCTGGACAAGGCAAGGAGGCATGATCAACTGCCAAGGCAGTGGGGCAACTGACTTAGGCATAACAGCTGCAGTTGCTGATCGTGCAGCAAAGGATACCCTCAAATCTTTGAGGTGTCTTGACAAAACTCGCATCATCGATTTATCCATTTCATTCTAGCTGCAGTAAGCCCAGATGGAGAGACCGAGGTTTCCAGAAGCATCACTCGTGCATGAAACCCTTGGAAGGCAAACTTAAATTTTGCAGCATGGCCTGTAATGAATCCTGGTGGGGGTGGTGGTACCACCTGGTCCAACATGCGGTGGAAGGTCAAAGCAGAAACTGCCAACAGGCAGCGGAGGGTATCTCATGGCAAAGAAGAAACATCCAAGGTTAGCACAGCCGGCGCAGCGATACGCATGCTTTGATTCAATGCGCTTTGTTCTTCTTGCCTGGTCACTGGTCGCTGCGGGGAGGAGATGTGTGGGTGTACGTGCTAAAGGTGCTTGCTGCAAGTGATCTGGGCTCTCGCGGCTTGAAATTGATTACATGATCCTGTCTACCACACGCGTGTTGAAAAGTCTATCCTGCTTGCAGGCCGCACTGGCACTGCGAATGATACAGGGCCAGTTCATTGGACACAGCGCGCTACAGCTGGGAGCATAGCTCTGTATCGATCGGCTGGAAAGCTTTCATCGTCCTAGGTTTGGACCTGGGGCATTGCAACGCGCTCAAGCTCCAAAGCACTGAGTACTGGCATCAGATCTTCTTTTTGGTGTTACATCCAGTTCTCCGCACTAATGCACTCTACTGATACTGCTGACTGACCACAGTCCATGCTCTCAGCTTGGCACAGCGGAGGAGAGAAGGTCAACAACACCTCCTGCAAGGAGCAATGCAAGGGATCGACTGCTCCCTGCAAGTTGAGGGGTTAATTATGCCGCAAGCTGTGGCCAGTCCTGATCCATTCGTGGCAATCCGTTCTTTTGAACAACGGCCATCTGGCGCCGGATCTCCTGACTCAGCTGAAAAGAGAAGACCTACAAAGACTCAAAGCCGCTAAACTTCGCCTCCCAGAGCTCGAAGTAACTGCAGGACCAATTCAGCCTGGGTCCGAAAGCTTTCATCGCGCTGCAGAGCTTCTGATGGGATGCTAGCGGGATGCATGCTAAGGCTTCATGTGCACTGGTTGCTGAGCTAAACTGCGATGGCAACCCTGAATGAAAACCGTGGCAACTTGCACGAGCTCGTGCCTCTAATGTCCCTTTCTGAGCTCTAGTCGCTTCCAGAGCCTTGGTGAAGCACCATGACAGGACCTCAGCTCATGGGAATGCCCATGATGTGGTTGCGGATATAACTTGCCTTGCGCAAGCCAGGCGCAGACTTGTCAGTCAAAGAGCATGAAGGTGACTGCTTCTAAGCTTGCCACGCCATGCTGCTTGGTGATTTGGTCTTGCCCATCAGTGCCAGGCATGGTCATTTGCCTGGCTATGTTCAGCAAAATACGGCAACGAGACAATGCTCAGCAAACATGCCGGCAGGTTCATTTCCATGGCGGTTTGGCCGTGACCGGCAGCGGCATAGCAAAAGGCTATAGCAGAAGACCGCGACATGGCGGGTCTTGTTGGCAGCCTACAGTGATGCGAGCGGTGTGAGGTACACGGAGTTTCGCATTGCTGTAGCTTTCAGGACATCTTGAAGCCATCAACTCAGGTTTGGCCTTCCTTTTCGCGGGTTTTCAATTTCCATGACCTTGTGCAAACTCAGCCCTGGAACATGACACACATCAACAAAGCACCAGGCGTGCCAACCTCAGCTTCATTCCCGGATGAGGCATGCACGGGCTGAAACCGTGGACGAGCTTTGAAGGATCGAGCTTTCTCCTCCTCAGCAACGCAGGCCAAGAAATTGCCAAAGCTGTGCGAGCAGTCTCGTGTCCTGCCAAACATCGCGATTGTGGCTGGCCAGATTCATCTTTGACGAATGTGCCTCAACATTTGCATAGAGCAAAGAGCTCCTGCTCAAGCTGCAATGGTGTAGCTGCATGGGGCAATGGACGCCTATAGTATAGACCTCCATTGTCCTGTGCAGCTTATTCGAGAATTGCAGGCACAGGCTGCGCGATACGAAGGCATGACTTGAGAGCCACGGGCTGGGACGAAAGCTCGACAGCGGACAGGGCTGGGGACTCAGGTTTGGAGACATATGTAGGACGTTGCAAGCAATACTGGCAAGCTATGTTTTTTGCACGCTTGCCGGCGGCAAGGCGTTTGCCCATGATAAGCTCAAGACCACCCAGAAACCCCCCAGCATCTCCTCAAGATCACCCGAAGATCCTCTGGAAATGCACCCAAGATCCCCCCAAAACTGCCACAGCATAACCTGCAAGGATCTAGCCCGAAAAGGCCTCCCCCGCCACCACCCGAAAATCCGCCCTGCGGTGCAGGGCAGCTGCAACAACCAGCCAAAATTGGCACCCCTCACCGGACCCCCTCCCCCATGATCCCAGGCTCACTCCGTGAGGTACTAAACGAAGCTTCCACACGGGGAGCTTTCGTGATTGCGCTCTTGTGAACTTTGCTTTGGATGTGAATGTTGCTTCAGTATCAATGCTCCGGCACTGAGGATGCGAAGTGTACACATTGAGGCTGATGTAGAATCATGTTCCTGTGAGATAGGACTCCGACAGGCCCATTAAGGCTCTGTTTGCAAAAGCTTCCGGGAACAGGTCATTATGCTCAACCTGAACGGCCATAAGGTAGGAGGGCGCATTCAGAACACCACGGACGCGTGGCACCGGAAAACCATGCCGCAACGATCGTGCAAAGCTATCCAAATCTCACATGCGCCTCGCAAGCCCTCAGCCAATTTCCACAGCGATGCAGCGGACATAACATGCGCAGCAATGTCTTTCTGGCTCTGGTTTGCTCTGTATTTCTGCAATTCAGTTTAGAACAAAGCGCCAGAGACAGGAACTGTCGAGTGTTCTGGTATGCTTTCCATGTTTTGCCCGGATGCCCGTGAAAAGTGCAGACCTCACTGAATGAATTTAATCATCGAACTGACTTTGCTATCTTATACTGCTATCTGCAATGTTGCAGTCTCTTACGTCAGCTAACGCCACCTGCTTGGGCTCAATGCAAGGGAACATGCCAGCCTTGAGGCCGCAAAAGTCACTGAACTTGAGGCCACTGATCAGAGAGCCATCGATGGTGCCACTTACATCTATCAATGTGGTGGCATGGTCGCAGTCCTTGGCAAGGCTCTCAGGCCAGAGATGGAAGAGCAGGATTCAAATGACCAGTAAGCCTTTCGCCATCACGGCCATCACAATAGCATTTGCAGGAATGCCCAGCAAGACCTCAAGTGTTGATGTGTGTCTGCATAGCACCCATCTCACATCTCTTCAAGAACCAGCCATTGTAAGATAGCATGAAGCAGGTAGCACCAGATTTCGATGTGAAGCTGCCAGCATGTCATGACACGTTCACTGAGTGCCGATCATCATGAAGGTCGTTCGTGCAAATGACGCTATAATCGCCATCTCGACCATCAACAAAGTCGGTTGGAAGAATGGCCTCTTCGAGGCCCTCATCCGCATAGCCATCCATATCATCCACCTGCTGGGCACGGAGGCAAGCACCGCCGACATGCATGTTGGAGTGGTTCCTGTGCACTTCCAGTCCAGTACAGACTTGAATCAGAGACTTGCAGAGTGAGCATGAAAGGAGGTTGGGCTGAAATAGGCCTTGTACCAATCTTGAGCGTGCTGCTGCAGAATGAATCCCGGTTCTGCTGTTGCCGCTGCTGCTGCAGCTGCTACGGCTAGTATAGCTGCTACTGCCATACCACTCCTGCTTGGTCCTACTATGACGGCAGCGACTCCTACCACGATGACTACTACTATGCACACACACTGCCACCGGCACCATCACCAGACCGTCACTGCCACCACTGCACGATGACGACCACCTCCGATACTACCCCGAGCATCTGCTGCTCCTGCTGCTCCTGTTCCCTTCGCACATTGAATAAATCAAAGAAGAAGAAGTAGTAGTAGTTGCAGCAGCAGCAGCAGCAGCAGTAGTAGCAGCAGCAGCAGCAGAAGCAGTAGAAATTATAGTAGTAATTGTAGTAATGCTACTGCTACTGCTGCTGCTCTCCTTAATTTTTACAACTGCTGTAAGACTACTGCGACAACGACGCAAGGAAACCCTAATTTGCACAAACCTCGCCAGCATGATCAGCATGCATCATCAAGGATCACCGGCATGGGTTTTGTGCTGTTCGGAGTTTGGGGCTTTGGGGCCGTTTAGGGTTTGTGGTTTGTGGCTGAGCCGTTAGCTCGCCGATCAGCCGTTTGCCCGCAGGAACAATAGTTCTGTGTTTAAGCTTGCCATTGCAGTGTTTTATGAATTGATGCCAAACTTCCCTGGCAGGCGCAGCACTCCCGGCCGTTGCATGAACTGGGCTCAGATCTGCGTAGACCTACGGTCATGCTGCTCAGGATCTCGCGAGGTTTGCATTGGAAATTGCTGCAGCAAGCGCAACACTGTCCGCTGCTGCCTGAATTAAGGTTTGTGCCACCAGCGCATACAGTTGCCACAAGCATCCATGCTCGTCCGGAAAACGATGCTCATGTTATGAGAGCAAGCGGTTCCCCTGAGCATTCCAGGCATGCCGGCCAAAATGATAAGGCTCGTGCTGCCAGTGCATCACATGCCCAAAGCATCCATGCTGGCCAAAACAAAAGCATTGGTGCTACCAGCGCATCTGGTTGCCAGAGCATCCATGCTTGCCCACATAATACTAACGCTCCTGTTGCCAGTGCATCTGATTCCGAGAGCATCCATGCTGGTCAAGATAATAGCGTTCGAGCTATGAGCGCATCCGATTCCCAGAGTGCTGGCCCAGATATGCCCAGATTACAAGTCAACGGTACATGGTTCCCCTGAGCATCCATGCTGGCCAACATGATCGCGTTCGCGTTGCCAGAGCATACGGTTCCTCTGAGCATGCATGCAGGCCCTCATAAGAGCGTTCGCGTTGCCAGTGCGTCCGATTCCCAGCTCATCCATACAGGCCTGGACAATAACGTTTGTGCCACCAGTGCATCCAATTCTCAGGAGCATTCATGCTGGCCAAGATAATGGCTTTCACGTTGCCAGAGCGCCCGATTCCCAGCGCATTCACTGCAAGCACGTCTCTGAAATTGTTCTGCAGAGCATGCTGAATGTTGCCAATGCAAAACTTGGAATGTCAATCAGTTGGGATAATGGGCAGATGCGGCAGACGGCCGGTCTGAGTGTTTAGGGTAATTGAGGGCTTAGAACTTTTCAAGGTTTAGGGTCTGGGTTCTTTGCTTAAGATTTGGAGTTGTTTTGGGTTGGGCATTGGGCATGTTTGAGGTTCAGGGTCAGTTTTTGGGTCTTGTTGGCTTGAAGCACCCCAAAGTGTTGCGCAGGTACGCTTTTATGGCTTCAGCGCATGATGTTACAAATTGTGTGTCAACCAGCTCTGGCAGAGCGTGTTTAGGGTTTAGGGCTGAAGGGAATGCTTGGGGTTTGAGGCTGTTTAGGGTAGGGTATGTCAAGAACTGAGGTTGTGCCAGGTTTTGCGCTTGTTTAGGGTGTTTAGGGCTCTTAAGGGTTCACGCTTGTTTGGAGCTTTCCGTTGTTTTCCACCTGCATGATGAAAGACTCCAGCCAGCTGGGACTATGGTCCTTCAAAGATCTGCTTCATTAAGAATCCACTCCCTACTGCTATGCACCATCCTCAAGCTAGTCTGTAAAGCCTGTAGATGACCAGGGGCAAGTGCTCGAGGCGTTTCGATGTTTAAGGTTTGGGGTCGCTTAAGATATGGGGTTGTTTGGGTCACTTTTCAGGCTTTAGGGTTTGGGGTCGTTGATTACAACTTTCATTTTGCGGCCGTTGAAGGTTTAGGGTTTTTGGGGTCACGTCGGAGGCCCCCTGACCCCCAAACCACCCACCCAAGTTGTGCCCTGCACGGTTTTAGAGCATGCGTGATCTCCGAACAGATTTAGCGACTTTTGAGAAAAGGAGTCTTTGCTGGAAGTTGAGTCAGAATGCGCACGCCCAAACCTTCATAAGCAATGCGGCCGCCATGTTTTTGAGCTTTCCCTCTTTCAAAAACCGCGGGGCGCAGGCGAATCTGGTTGTCCGCTTGTACCGCTTCGGCTGCTACTACTACTAGGTACACGGTCCGCGAACGGCCGTGGATTTTGAGCCCGACATCGGTGCCGAAATTGGGGTTTTAAGCAAATTCAACATCTTGGCATGGCAAAAATATCATGTTTGCCTAGTAGTCGTTTAGTGCTTCTTGGTCTTGGAAGAGACATTGGGGTTTCATCGTCGGAGTTGTGATTTTCTTCGTGCGGGGAACTTTGAGGCTCCATAGTCTGAGTTGTGATTTGTTGATGTAAAGGGAACACAAACGGCATCATAGTTTGGGCATGGATGCTCTCGTTACCGTATGCTCTTGGAACATGAACGTGATTTTGGTTTGGGCATGTCACCGTATGCTCTTGGAACGCAAACGTTATTTTGGTTTGGGCATGGATGATCTCGTCCCCGTATGCTCTTGGAACGCGAAGGTTATTTTGGTTTGGGCATGGATGCTCTCGTCACCGTATGCTCTTGGAACATGAACGTGATTTTGGTTTGGGCATGTCACCGTATGCTCTTGGAAAGCGAAAGTTATTTTGGTTTGGGCATGGATGATCTCGTCCCCGTATGCTCTTGGAACGCGAAGGTTGTTTTGGTTTGGGCATGGATGCTCTTGTCACCGTATGCTCTTGGAACATGAACGTGATTTTGGTTTGGGCATGTCACCGTATGCTCTTGGAACGCGAAAGTTATTTTGGTTTGGGCATGGATGCTCTCGTCAACGAATGCTCTTGAAGCACGAATGGAACTATGGGTTGGGCATGGATGATCTCGTCACATCTCGTCACCGCATGCTCTTGGAACGTGAACGTTGTTTTGGTTTGGGCATGGATGCTCTCGTCACCGTATGCTCTTGGAACATGAACGTTCTTTTGGTTTGGGCATTGATGCTCTGGTCTCCGTATGCTCCTATAACGCAAACGTTATTTTGGTTTGGGCATGGATGAACTCGTCACCGCATGCTCCTGGAACGCAAGCTTCATTTTGGTTTGGGCATGGATGCTATCGTCACCGTATGCTGTATGCTCTTGGAACATGAACGTGATTTTGGTTTGGGCATGGATGATCCCGTCACCGCATGCGCATGGAACGCGAACGTATCTTGATTTGGGCATGGATGATCTCCTCACCGTATGCTCTTGGAACGCAAGCGTTCTTTTGCTTTGGGCATGGATGCTCACGTCACCGTATGCTCTTGGAACACGAACGGGACTATGGTAAACCAGCATGGAAACCAAGCATTGCGACAAGCTCGAACGTGCTGAAACTTCGCGCGCGGGCCGGACGCGGCCCGTGTTCCTCCTACTACTACTACTACTACCACCACCACCACCACCACCACGACTACTACTACTACTACTACTACTACTTCTAATAATAATAATAGTAATAAGGACAACGACAATCATGGCGGCGAGATTCGCGAAGACTATGTGCTAATCCCCCATCCTCTTCCTGTTGCCTGGGTGCAAGCTCATGATTGCATCAATTGGCCTGGAAATGCCATAGCTCAATGTCTACAAACGCAGGAGCGCCTGCAGGCCATATCCGGAAAAAGAAAAGAAGAGCAGGTCTCCCGGATTTGTGGCGCGAACCATCTGGTGTAGCCTGGACTGGAGCAAACACGTCTGATTGCACTGCCATGCATTCAACATGTTTCACCCTAACAGTAGTCTCTGCGAGCACAAGCAATGCCGCATGGATGAATTTAAAAAGGATGTGCCCAAAGCCGTGGCGTATGCTGGTTGTTTGGCTGGAAGTGCTCCGAACATGTGCGCGCAGTGCGCAGCACACCTGCATTGTGGTATTTAGCGCCCGTGAGAGAACATGAGCCTCACTCAATGTTACTTAAATTGTTGCATCTCATGGACCCAGGTTGCAACTGGCAAGGCTTGGGAACAAGTACGGCATTTCTGTCCAGTACAGACGCGTTGATACACGTCAACTAGAGACGCGCGTCCTAGTAGCAGGTAAGTCAACTTAGCTTGTGGAAATTTCTCCCTCGGCAAACTGGTCGGCAGGGACTGATGAATAAGTCAGCTGGAACAGCTTACCAGCACACCTACCTCATGATTTCTAGGGTTGGCAAGTTGGTCTGCATGAATTGACTGGTCATGCATGCGCTTGCTTTACGCGACTTGTCCAGTAACATTGTGCGCGGGGCCCTAAATTTTTTGTATGCCCCTTGGACAGCTGCCTTCATGTACGTATTTGGCTTACAACTTGCATGGATTTAGATTTCTGCTCAGGGTCCCAGGTCGAGAGTGATCTTTGAAAGGGCGATGATGCGAACCGTACTGAGCTGAAAAACTTTTCACCGTCCCAACTACGGCTTGCGGCTGCTGCATGCACACAAAGCCTGTGCTTTGCAAATGGTAACAGCGGCCGTGTGCACTTCAGCAGCTGAGGCTTGTGTGTATGAGTTTGCTGCTGGCTGCTTCTGGGGACACCATCTTGCTGAACCTCTGTCGCCACAGCCGCAGCTGCGCAACTGCTGCAGCATCTTGTGGCTTGCCGTGAGTGTCGGTGTCTAGACTGCCGAGGGCCGCACTGATGCAAAATGTTTACCCGGGTTGGACATTTGGCTGGCTCCACCTCATGTCTTGTCGAGACTTTCCAAGGGCATCAGCAGCGTTTCCACGTCAGCCTTCAAGGACTTCTTCTGACCAGGATAGACGTCGTGCAGAACGCACACATTCTCGTGTCGGAAGCCCAGATGTGCCTGAAAATGGAAGCACTCCTTTGTCATGAAACGAAATTTACATACATCTGTGCCTGCAAGGTTTCCGCGATCAGGAAAGCATCGTTGACCTGACCATGAACACGATTCGATTCAAGCCACCTGAGCAGAGAGGCATGCCGGGCTACGAGCAGCTCCAGCCAAACCGAAGGCTTTGCTAGGATAGTTGCAGCCGACGCCTTGGACTGGGATGTGTTGCCTAGAAGAAACCAACTCAACAGCAACGAGCTTTTGCATAACGCCCTTCGTCACGTGTGTATATATATATATAGTTATATTATCTTATATACCCCTTAAAATCTACGCGTGTATACCTATCATATGTACACATTAGTTGAGCTAAGTTGCAGCTCAGGCTTCACATTGTCATGTGGGATTTTGGTTGAGGCCTAGCTTTGTCTTGAAAGAACGGGCTCACAGAAATGTGTGGCGCTCCTTGATCTTAAGCTTCGCAGCACAATGCGCTTTAGCCGTCGGCGGTCGTGTTGAGATCACGCAGGTCAAGCCAAATTTCTGGGATGCCAACAGAGAGCACGCTTTACCATAGGCGGTAATGACTCAAGGGCCACCTAGGCTGGCAAGTCTGGTGAGAAATGCGGTGCCAGAATGTCGCATGCATTCTCCAGCCTCATGGTGGCACCGACAGCTGCTCAGCTTCACATGCAAATAATTATGTGGCTTCTCAAGCTGCGCATCGATAGATTCCATAGTGTTGATTCCAGCCCTTTGACATGGGCACTCAAGATCACTCAGGATCAACAGTCCGCTTCCAAGAAGTTTGCTGTGCAGTCGGTACGCAATTGAGATCTGCTGTTTCAGTTAGCAAAGCCTATGTGTGCCTGCAGTAATGCCTGCTTTCAGACTCTTTGAATTTGGCCAACTGACAAGTTGGTCACACGGCTGCAACAAAGGAGGGGGTGTGCCATGCTCTCTTCACGGATAAGTTTCGGCCGCACCTGGCATTTTAACAATATTTTAACAAGATAGTGCCCCATGTGTACTCTGGTTACTCACGAGAGTTGCCGTGACTTGATTGGATTTGCCACCTTGTGAGGCCTTGGCTTGGCTGTCTGCAGGAGCTGAGACCACCAGAAACTAGAAACAGGAGAGATTCCGAAGGTGGCCCAGAGAAGTCTTTGATGCACAATTGCATGCCTGTTGGAAGGTTCATATTTGCACAGGCACAGATGCAACAAGGTGTCTGGGCAAATTGCCGCGAGAATTTGCTTGGGCTGCGATGTCAAACGACACTACCGTTTTGCGAAGCAAACTACCGGGCTTTAGTGTTGGGGATCCAGGAAACAGATCAGCCTGCAAACCTTCAGCCCAAACCCTTCGCCTTTCCCCACATGGTGCCATCAGGCACAGAATGCGCCAATGCCTGAATGAATATGCGCTCGTTTGTGCTAAGCTGGTTCCTCCAGAAAAAGATGGGGTCTCCGCAGAAATTAAACTGATTTATCTACTGACCATGCAATGGACAGCAAATGGGATCGCTCCATGCTCTTGATCAAGGTATCTCTTAACCTTCTGAATCTGCCGCCTCCAAGCCTCTCAGCAGCCCCTCCCTGCAACCTCCCCCTCCTGCACAATGTAAAACAAGCCGATTTCCACGTGCCCCACACGCATAACCCCGAAGCAGGCCAAAAATAGATTGTGGACTCTGTGATTTGAGTTTTCGTGCATCATCCTGCATTCTCCATCTGGGTGTGAGACGCATGTCAAAGAGGATAAGAAGACAATGCAACGAAATGCGTGTGGAACTCAGATCATAATGATATGCTTGTCGTACTACAATACCATGAGAACCATCATTTGGCGCCACTGTTCAAGACTCTTTGCAGCAGCTGCCGTTGTTCATTGACCTGCAGAGCGCAGCGCAGCAAATGCAAGGACAGCATGCATCTGTTTGGCCTCCGGGTCAGAGTTTCTTTGCTCTTCGTCCAGCTGCTGGAACAGATCGCTGAAGAGTACAAACTGTCTTCTGGCCTGACAGACCCACGCAAACAGCGCGCTCTTGCAAGTGGTGCAACTTTTCCAGATAGAAACACCACATGTAACCCTCTCTCTCCTCAGCACATGGATGGAAATTGCAACGTCTTGTCCGGCCTCTGTCAAATCCCCATGATTAAATAATGTAATCGCGAAATTCAGATGAAACATGTGATCGGAGTCCATCTCGATCGCCTGCACCGTGGAGCAAACCGTCACGCGATCTGATCATGAACATGCTGCATGCTCAGCAGACTTATCGGGCGGACTACTAAGGCAATCTTTAGCTTACGTGGCGTCGAAGCACACTGAAAGATTTCCTGGGAAAACCCATGGCTTGCCCCCAGCTACAACAACAATTTCTGTCTTGGTTTCCCCCGGATGTATGCCCTGATGTGCCATGCCCCCTTCCTCTCCCATCCGTCAGCCATGTGTGCTGCACCCCTCTTCTACATGCAGAAGAAAGATGAAGAAAGAGGAACGAACGTGCTGTCGGCACAAGCTAGACATATTCCAGCTTGGCAATTGTGTGCTGCGCTGATATGCGCTTGGCTGACAGAACACTGGTGAATGTTGGCATATAACTCGTTGAATGTTGCAGAGCCTTGCAGATGTGGAGATGGAAGCAAACGATCATCACATTGTCTTCTCATCGCTGTACTGTAGTTGGCACTCTGCACATTGTTCTAGCGCACAACTTGCATTTCCCTCCCTTCCTCCCTAGCTGCAAACTTATGCTACACGCTGTGGGACAGACACATGAGTTCTTCCCACCTTCTCATATGCACTGCATGCATTTGAGAAGTCATCCAAGCGAGAGAGTGTGATTGCAAGATACCTGGCACAGTTTGCAGTTGGGCGGAAGACAGCTCCGGCAGAAGGAAATGTAAGTGCCCCGCATATACGATGAGGGGAAGTCAGGTTTGAGGTTGATGCTCGCTGAGAAAAAATGAAAGGCCTGCCAAGGAGAATCACTAAAAACCATGAAACATGCGCACTATGCGCACTCGTCAGCACTTCGCACTCTGAAGGCAAAGTAAACTCGAAGGTTCTGCTGATGCAAACTGCCCGGTGTTCAGGTGCACCAGGCCTGGCAGCATTTGCAGAGGGTCATCTGAGGCACCAAAGTAAGCGAATGGTAGGAAGACGTCAGGCTGGCCTAAATTGTAGGAAATTATCCACTCGAAAGGATCCAGGTACAGTGCACGCTTCAGGCCTTGACTGCCGACAACTGAAGCATCTGCGTTGCGGACATTCTGCAATCAAGCATGATGAGGCATCGGCATGCTATTGCGGCCACGTACTTCGTCTTCCCGAAGAAGCACATGCCAATACTCAGCGTTGCACATGACATCCCACTTTTGCAACTTTTCAAACCCCATTATGGCCAACAAAGGCCTCAGGGTACCTAGGTTCGCCTTAATCGTAAGCTGTGATTTCAGGAGAAAACAAGACATGCAACAACAAGGACCCGCGCGTGAGTGCCATTGCGGGTCCATACGAAGGGAAATTCGAAAGCCCTAGAATGATGAATGATGATGAACACATTCAACTTCACATGCAAGATGTTGCCGCACTGCCTTCCATCAAGCTGATGGGGTCATGCGCATCGGCTTAATGGACTTGTTTTTAATCGCAATGATCGTAAGGGATTCAATGGCGTCTGCAATCTGAATGAGTTCTGCGAACATTGAAACGGTCCTTCAGGACACGCGAGTATCTGGATCAAACTCACTTCAAGTGTCTGAGTCTAAGGCTTTCTGAGGCCAGCGCTTATTCCAAAGCTGTGCAGAATTGGGAGTATGGACCGCGGCTACGCGGTACTTAATGAGCGCGACATCCATGTCTGAATGATCCTGTATGTAGCTGCGCAGGGATAGCAACATGGAGCCGAGCACAGTCTGCAGAATCTCAGAAATCAGTTTCCAAACACCGTCCTGGATAATGGACCCTGCAGCCAAAATGGTCTTGGCATTCTTTGGGTCATGCGTTAGCGCATTGCCAAGGTAATCCTGAACAAGCAAACGGGCTAGCCAGTGGACAAGCAGCAGGCACAGTGCAATGTCTTAGAACCAGACAAAGGCTTTGAAGTTTTCGCCCATCCTGCATCAGGTGAGGCAGCAAATGCTCTACTTGTATGAGACGCGCATGACGCGCCAGGTATTCCACGGCAGCCGGCAAGAATTTGAGAAGTTCATTTGTCCGCTTGGTACTGTAGTAGCAGCTTTGAGATGGCCCTTTGCTTTGGCCAAGAATCGCAATTTGCTGAGGATGGCGTTCCCAACCGCGCTTCCAGGAGCCTACAGCCCTGATCCTCTGCGGCATGCAGTGCCTCCCGAAAGTTGCACAAATCTTATACTTGTGTCTAGTTCTAAAGGACTACTGTACAGCATTTCATTTCGTCCTGCGTTTGAAATTGCGTCATCCTATCCTTCAGACCGCACAGTTCTTGCGCAACAATTCCGCATTGAAATGAGTGGCCCAATGGATGCCTTTCACGCTGCCTAAGTGCAACGTAGGCTTGCGTCAGAGTTGCATCGAGGCTTTGAAAGTGGCCCGCGCGCGCGGACAACAGTCCCGGCAGGTTTCTTAACATGCTGGCCAAGAACCCGCCCTCTTGCTGGCTACAAGTACCGGCGAAAGAGGTGCCGTGTTCGCACTTGCTGCTCCTTGCTCTTGAGAGGCAAGCTGTCACATGGCTTACCTGCTGAGTGACTTGGCAGCGGCTTCAGAGGCTGTTTCCAAGGCCCCCTCCCGGGTTCCCTGATAAACCAATACACTGATCATGAATTGCTCAGGCCATCTCTAAACAGCACTTAGAGTTCCCGCTGCAGAGCTACGCAGTGTTTAGCCACCGTGCGCAGAGGCGGGGGGGGGGAAAGCGACAGCTTGAACTCGCCGTTTTGGTGTTGAATTCCATGCGTAACATCCTGTCCAACCTCGATTCCCGGACTAAGAAGCTGGACGGAGCGGACTTTCGGCAGCGCGACTTGTCAGACCCACATTGACATTTGCAGGCCTTTAGAGCTCGCATGCTGAGGTTTCAGACCACGCAACACATGAGACTACTGGGCCAGGGTCCGCAAGTAGAGGATGCCCAACGTGGTCAGCAGCTCCGCGTGCTCAGGGGAAAACTCTAGGGCCTCGAAGCGCAAAATTACTCTGCCCCTCAGCCCTCGAAGGTAAAGCATTCACACTGCGGTCATCAAGTAGTTGGCTATCTTTCAAAGACAGCTCCGTGATGTGCTGCCGGAGCTATGCAAGCTGCTGTCATGGAGCATGTAGACTCTGTAGACGGGAAAAAAGGATGCAGCGGGCTTCTTGGATTATCCCGGCCATTGGGCGAACCTCGGTGTACACGTCGATGGCAGATTTGTAATCTTCTTGCAGCGCATAAACCTGAACAGGTCATGGTGCTCATCAAGTGAAGTTGCCCGGAACATCCTTCAGCAGCCTTTCCCAGCTGCATGAAGGTCACATCATGCCGCTGGATGGCATTAGCCTGAAAAGAAGCACAGGGCATGGAACTGCATGCATGGTGGAACGCCTTGTGTGCAAACGAGAGACATACCCCATTTTGTAACAACCAGGGGCATAGTGCAGAGCTAACAGAGGCTACAACTTCCAGCATTCAATAGTCAAGGACAAACGACATTTCTGCGCAAGGACCCAGCCTTCGAGAAGCACTCTATGGAGCTGTCGTACTGACGGAGATACATGTGACAAAGACCTGGCAAGTCTCGCAGCTTTCGCAGACCAGCGCAATGCGGACAGATGCTCGTTTAGAGCATATTTGTTCCAGGCATCGGGCCTTTGTTGTGCCATATCTCCCAGTCTTCCGGAGAAATCTTCTGGGCTTCATCGTATACCTCACGAAACGCTTCGTGTGATACAGAAAAGCTTCCAGCACGCGAGGGCAAAACCGCTGCAAGTTTTTCAGCATGCCTCAATGGCTCCACGATGCTTGCCCAGCAGATAGAGGCTCCGGCCCATCTGACATGATGACGCCAACTACAGGCCACGGAATGTGATTGAGAGTGCAAGCCTGCTTAAGGTTGTAGACGTTCAAGGGACTGATGCAGGTTGCGGCTTGAAAAAGCTGCAAGGACTCCTGTACCTGGCATAGCACATTTATCGCTGAGGCTGCACAAGAGGTGGTGCTTTCAAGTCTGAGGAACTCCCCTAGCCGGGGCCTGCCCCTCCTGTCTCTTGATGAGCGCTTTAACGTAGATGGCATATTCGCACCTTGAAAACAACACCATGTGGCTGTGATGCAGACCAATCCTTTATCCTGGACTGACGCGGCATCGATTCATGAGGTGGCTTCTGTTAACAGTGCTATCACCCTGCTGTCCAGCGCACGTCGCTTTGACAGGAAGATGATGACTTAGATGAGGGTGCGCGCAAGCGGGCACGGCTTTTTTCACCCACCCGTTTTTTACACCTGGGACCAGATGCATGGTAGGACAAGTGTGATTTGTGCTTGCCTGGACTCATTGCACTTGGTGCGCCGTCACTGCTCTCGCCGCTTATCTAGTTTTTGAAGCTGCAACGCCCGTGGTTGCCAGTGGCTCATGTGCCATGTAGCTTGACTATACTTGTTTCACTCGAAGAGCTGAGCTTGAATTCTTTTGCACGTCTTGCCTCATCACGTGCAGACTGAATAATGCAAGATAATGCAAGACGACGCGAGCTAGCCAGGCCGCTTCTGAATCCAGGCGCTGCGCCAAGTCTGGTGGGGGTTCTGCCGCTTTCTCTTTGCATGCGCTGCCGCACCCCTGCTGAGGAAGATTGAGAACACGCACGATGCCCTGTCCATGAAAACTTGGATTTGCTGCCTGATGGCTCCACGGCGAGGCATCTCTGACTCGCAGGGCAAATGAGGGAAGGACATGCCATTGGATTCTCGAAGCTGCTCTTCGATCACATCCATGCATTCCTTGAACTCCTCGATAGCAATCTGGCTGGAATCAAGCCCTCTACAACAAAGCGTGCAAGGTGGTTGCAGGCCTGCCGGACATACAGCAGGTTGATCAACCAATTCTTCTTTTCTCTGCCAGCCTGTACAACGCGGCAGGCTGCTGGACAGCTGGAAATGTTCATGAGATTTCATCAGCTAGACACCCGAAATCGTCAAGAGAACAACAACATGCACTGGCAGCAAAGCCACTCAGTTGAGCTGGACATGGCTGGGCATGCATCAAGGAAGAAAGCAGCTTTCAAAGTGATGCCACGTGATAGCTGCGAATGCGACTGCCTTTGAGGACGTTGCCGCGCTGGCAGCCATGGCCTTGAAACAAGAGGAAGCGGGCACAAAGTAGAGCCACAGCCACTTTGGTTCTGAGACGGCTTGCTGAGACTGAGACGCAAGCTAATCGCAGCTAGTCGGCCCCGCGCGGCTCTGCCCCGACGATTTCCGAGGCTAAGCCTGCCATGGGCCTCAAATCCTGGACAGCCCATAGCCAAAGTTCATTTCCCTGCCAGGACAAAAACTTGACTGCACATGAGAGAAGCAGGTCGCCACGATTTTGCCCAAGCAATGTCCGGCTGCTTAGCAGCAAATTGGTGACTGGACATGAGGGCAAAAGTGAATGAACTACTCAGGAGCACACAGCTCCTGTGCCACTTGATGCAAGCGCTGGTCTACACGACTGCGCTTCTCAATGACTATATTATGATTCACAGGACATCCTTGTCTACATCCTTATTCTCCCAATCCCAGTGTGGTAGACCAGGCAACTTGGATCTTTGGACTAGGTGTAAGCATGTCCAGTATAGCATTAGCGTGTTGTCTGGGACCACATAACAGCCCGACCAAAGGTGAATGCGTTCACTCCTCAATGCGACATGCGCTGCACATCTTGTCCTTCATCGTCTTTGGCGAACCGACTGCTTTTGTGGTGGCGGTTGTCCACGAGGACTCCTCGTGTGATACGGGGTGCTTCATTCAATGTGACTTACATCATCGAAGGAAATGAGCCTGAACTCTTGGCAGTACGTTGGGGGAGTGTTTTCAATGACACGAAACTGATGTTTTCGTTTGGTTGACTACTGCAATCATACTCTTGTCAGCATGTCGCCTTCAAAATGTTACTAATCAAGCCTCTCGTGCCTGGTAGGTGTGCCAGAGCTTCTTGGTGTTCTCGCAGCTTCCTTCATGGCAAACAAGGGACATGGCACAAGTCTTAGGATGTAGAGCTTGGCGAGTAGGTCGGGGGTTTCATGATTTGCGCCTGCGAGCTCAAACGAGGATCTCTCCTTGCAGCAGCCTTGGCGGTTGCAGATGGGATATGCGCGGCAGTGGTTGTTTTCTTAGATGAAGTTGGCCCTCCTCTTGCCTTTGGTGGCCCTTCAACCTTCTGTTTCGCAGCTTCCTGCGCCTTGTGCATCCGCTTCCTTCCCAGATCTGCAAGAGTTTCCCCTTGCGGCTTCTGAGTTGGAGTCCGCGGCCAATCATTTAAACTAATCTCCCAGGCAATTGGTGGCTGCTTTGCAGCTGAATAGGTGGACATACTTGGGGATGCTGGCTCGCTTTCTTCTATGTCCTCCTCCTCCTCCTCCTCCAGTTCTGGAGCGCTTCTTTGCACAATGCTGGTCCTGCTGACCACCTGCTCTTCCAGCACTACATTGCTGCTTTCAAAATAACTGACGGGCTCTGCTGGCACCTGTTCATCCGTTCGAGCAGACGCGTCGCTATCTCCGCACCAAAGCTCTCCACCATCCTGCACCCCGCCCAGTTGCGGCTGCTCTCCGCGCAAAAGAGCAGCAGCTGAAGCGACAGCCTCTGTCTCCTCGATGCCATAGCCATCGCGCAAGGCTCTTCTTCTTGCACCCATGGTTCGAGCCCACGGCGTGTGGCTCTGCGCACCGCGGGAAATAGATCGCAACTGATCAGTGTATGTGCCCAAGCCTTTCAAGGTGTCGCAGGGTAGCTTTTCACTGGGCTCCATCCTCAGATCATCTTGTTCACCAGGTTCCTCTACGTGCGCTTGTGACAACGGACCATCGTCCGTCAGACGCATACCTTGAGCTGCATAGAGAAGCTCCTCTGTGTTGCAGGCTGCAGACATGCGCCCTGGCTTTGGAGCTGTCAGAGCCTCCTCGTCAGGTCGCGTTGCTTTTTGCGATTGGGGAGGCAGCTTTGCCGACATTGCTTGCAGTGCTTCCTGCTCCCGGGCTGCAAGGGCCTCCGTCATGTCTTGCACAGCACCACGAACTACCTCGGAGCTTTTTGCCATAATCGCTGCTGCGGTCTCTTTTGCAGCTTCGGTACTTTTACTGACAATTGCTGCCGTGGCTTCCTGAGTTTCCTTTGCTGCCTGGGCAGCAGCAGCCATGACCGCAGTCAAGGCTGCCTCGTGCTTTTCCAGGTTTTCCAAACGCTCGAGCACAGCAGCTTCCAGCGCTTCCAATTTATCTCGCTCCCTTTCTTTGACAGATTCCGTTTCGGGTCCCGTGAAGCCAGCCTTCATGAAATGCTGTAACTGCTGCATCTGCTGCATCTGCAACATTTGCTGAGTCTGCTGCAGTTGCAAAGCCAAGTTCTGCTGGACAGGATCTGCGGGCATGGCGGGCGCTGGTGCCACAGGAGGTGCCATCATGATGGGCGCTTGAGGTGCAGGGCACGGCTGCATCATTGGTGCATGGCAAGGTTGAGGCGGTGCCTGGACAGGAGCAAGCGCCTGAGACGGCGGCACGGATGCAGGGCTAGGCGTGGCAGCAGCTACCGTGCTGGCTTGAGGCAGCGATGCCCCATTTGCGTTGGCGGACGTCGCGTGCTCGGGTGCACGGGAGTTTTGGTGAAGTATTTCAGCTTCGCGGGTGTTCAATGCCCGTCGATCGCCGGCTACTTCTGCATGGCGAGAGCTAAGCTCAGCTCTTCGACGCCGAAGCTGGGCTTCGGCCGCTGCAATGTCAGCAGTGCGGTGCTGAATCTCTTGCTCAGCTTCCGAAACTTCTTTCTCAAGTTTGCTGAGCTCCTCCTGCATACGAACCAGTTCTTCTTCTTTTCGCTGCAACATTGGCTCACTGTTGTCCAAGTCATCGCGTCTTTGCTTCACTCGCTTTGCCTCTGCCTTCAGAGCGTTCTCGCATCGTCTGAGGTGCTGTGCATCTGCATCAAGCTGTGCTTCCCGGCAACGAACCAACTCCTCATCAGTAACCACATCTTTCTCTTGGGTCTGCACTCGTTTCTGAAAAACGGCCAGCTCTGCCTGTCGAGTTTCAATCTGTTGCCGCTTCGACGCAGTCGTCGCTTTGCGCCACTCTAGATCTCGTTCTGCTGCCGCATAGCTCTCTTGTACGAACGTGATGTCATTCAGTGTCTCGTTGATCAATGCCTCTCTGGCTTGAAGCTGCCACTCGCCGAAGATCTTTGACTCCAAGCCGTTGGTCTGATGGCTACTCTGACTTAAGGGTGATGGGTCTGCAAGGCACTCAATGCCATCACCCCATCCCAGCTTTGGCAGCTTTGGCAGCTTCGGCAAACCAGGATCTACGCTTTGAAGCTCAGGTTTCTCATCGAGTGCAAAGCTAGGGTTAAAGAATTCTCTAGCTTTCTGCTCCCAGTCTTGCGCGTGCAAGTTTGCTGGGCTTTCCCAGGCTGCATTTACTGGCTGGCGACAAGGTCTTCCAAGATCAGCGTGCTTTCTTGCACAGCAAGCCGATGCATCTATTGCTGACGCATTTGCAGCGCTTAGAATAGGTGGACGTTGGGGGGGCGGCGGCAGATCTAAAGGCAAGGCTTCCAGTGCCAAATTTACCTCCCCAAAGTCAGAAACCGCACTTTGTGTCTGAACGAAGGGATGTGAAGAGGTGGCCTCCAGCTGCTTGATGTGACTGACAACCTTGTTTGAAAACGTGGGAGCCTTAAAAGGCTCTTCTGCGGCAGGAGGTGCTTGTGGTGGTGGAGGCAAGTCCCAGGGTAGATCCGCAGCGGACGTTGTGATCAGGCTCAGCTCGTCCTGCATGTCATGGCAGTGCCGCGCCCCTCCACGGAATGGCAGAAGCTCTAAGCAATTGGGCTTGTGTGTGTTAATGTGTGCTGGCTTGCATGCTGTGCTGGGTTTGATTCACATGCATGGTGTTGATCTCAGCAATGAGGACCCCGAGCAGGTTTATGCGCGGGTCTCTAGCTTCTTCTTAACGGTGAACGCGCGGGCGCGATTCAGTACAGCCGCGTACACTCGTGCAATGCGGAGGCATGGACAGTTTACGGCTACAACTACAAGGACTGCGACGCTCAAGTCAAGAACTCAAGCTTTCGCTTCTAGGTTCGGGCCAGAGTCTGTCAGCGCATGTTTTTGGGGCATGTGAGCTTTTGCCGGACATTCTCCGACACGGTCGTGGCTCACTTCTTGTTTCCAAGTGCACTGGTCCGGAACACTTTGCCAAATCCTACCTATGTCATGCCTTCCTTCAGTTGACAAGCGTATCGCTTGTGCATGTTGTCTCCAGTGTCTGCCGGCTTCTTCTTGAACTTGCAGGTTTACACGTTCTTGCCAAATCTGCCTTTGATGTCTTTTGTTTGTTTGTCGTCAAGCATGCAGAGAGCTGTCCTACCCTCGCAACCCTCTACCAACGATTTGAACTAAACCCCATGCATGGTCAATCTATGTCAACTTGCCACCTTTCCAACCACATTCCGTCCGCACATGCGGAAAGACGCTGGGATTTGGAGGTGAAACGTGGCTGCCGTCATGTGTGCTTTGAACAAGAAAACCATTTCCCATGAACTTTGATATAGACTGCGACTTCAGTTTCTGACTTTCTGACAGCGATCCCCTTCGGATTCAGGCTTTGCCGCAAAATGCGAAGAGGACCATCGCTACAAAGAGCCCGGCTCGGGCTGCGCGGGCTGCACGGGCTGCATTCGCTGAATTCCACCTGGACATACCGCTACACTCCGCTACAGTATCTCACACACTGCGCGCGGTCCGCATTGGCTTTTGTTGTTAACAGTTCTTGTGGTGAGATGTCAACTTGATTTGTAGACTTGCTGCGAGCGCGGCCTGCGCTCCTGACACAATCTAAGATCTGCATCTTGTTCAGCAGTTCCAAGTCAGTTTGAGCCCTCTTTAATTGCTGAATAGTGCTCACATGCTGACAGCCATCTTCTCTGCCGTGTGATCTTCAAGGACACGGATCTCCATGACTTCGAACAGCCTATCGACAATGGTTGCAGCAAAAATAACCACACAACAATGCCACAGTGACGCAGCTTGCCAAAGTCTAATTCCAGTTAGTGGTGCCGTCCTTTGAAAGGGCTGCGTGTCGTTTGCAAACTGTTGAAGGATGGCCGCATTTGCCTCAGCGAAGCGCCAGATACTTGCACATCGGGCTTGCGCTATGTTCTGCATGTGACTGCTTCATTGACGGACCCTTGCGGATGTACCTCCGCTTGCTTCTGCTGAACCAGCTTGAGCTGAGTGATGGTTGCCTCTGATTCCGAAATGAAAAAAGTCACCAACCCTTGTTGGCAGTGTCGCCCGCGTCGCCTCGTTTTGGAGCTGGACTCGGCGAGCTTGCCCTTGAGCCGCTCTTATCAGCTCTTCAACCTCAGCCGGGGCACGCTGTGGAAGGAAATCTCCATACCGAGTTGAATTCCAACCTTCTGAATCGCAACCAACTTCTCAGCTTCCTTAATGATGATCTGCTCCTGTCAAACAAATCATGACTGTCCTGCGAGGCTGATCAAAGGGCTGAAAGATGCGTGCACGCCACTCGGACCGTCCTGACGCTCTGCTTTCCCAACTTCTACCTGCAGCAGAGTCTCTTCGAAAACCATTTAAGCAACTCGATCCTTCTTTCTGCCATGCCTGCAAGTCTACCACATCAAGATTGACATGGAAATGCCAGCCACTCGGAGTGTAGTAAACAGGAACGGGAATTAGCATCACATAGGAAGTCTGGAAGCGTTTGCTGGACCGATGCACAGCGTAAGGACCCCTTCAGCACCGCCTCTTGCATTTGCTCTTGTGTATTCTCAATTTCATCATCGTACTCGTCCGGCAAGTCCACCTGTCAGAGGTTATGTGGGTGCAGCGGTGCTCTTCAGCTTCTCCAAGAGAGACTTGGCCTCCCTCAGCTGAAGGCCGGTGATCTCCATCCGCAGACCCAGCTCGGGCTTGTCGAAGTTTGACTGTAGCACCTGCAGTCACATGACAATTGATGAACGCTGCAGGATCCGAATCCCTCCTCTAGCATCTTTGCTGTAATCGTTCGGCGCTCTGTGAAATACCTGGCCACGATGAAGTTGCTTATATGCGCGACGGAGGCGGAAGCAAGCAATGACACAGGCTCCGATGTCCTCTGAAAACAAGCAGGCCCGGCTGATCAGCGGCAAATAACGAGCAGGACTCGATGATTGCAGCCCGGGCAAATCGAACGAACTCGTCCTGACAATTGACTTCCGCTTCTTTTTATTTTTCCTTGAACAGAACTGCAAGACTTTTCCCCTCTGGCTTGTTTCAGCAATCTCTGGACAGTCTGCACAAACACAGCATTTCCGCAACATGGGCGCGGCTAGCTAACGAAGCAAAAGCCAGATCGCTAGGCCAGTCCCGGTACATGGTCTCCCCGAGAATGTTGTACAAATCTTTGAGTGCGTCGGGCCTGACGGAAGCAGACAGAAGAGCAAACATTAGTCCGACATCCCATCACAGTCTTGCAGCAGGCAGCCTCAGCCTCCACTGAAACGACACAGAAACTTGCATCTCCAACCTTCCAGCAGGGATGTTGCTCAGATAGTGGCTCAGCAGTTGGTTTGCTGGCACTTGATTCTCGACCGGTCAGCAAACCAGCTGTCTCCGCTTCTCGTGTTGAACATACTTACACAGGCATTGGGGATGGTTTTTAAGCCCTAGGTTTCCGGCACGGTACGTTGAGCTGCAGACCCATCGGCTGATCTCGCACGGATGGGTCCACGGAGCATCGGAGAGAAGAGTTCTGGCACTTCCGCTCCTGCCACTCCTGCAAGCAGAACTTGTTCATCCATTCCTATGGGTTTGGACACACAACTGGTTTGCCTCGCCCATCTTGGATGAAGTACATGGTGTTAAAGGTTGCGGGATACCTTGCATCTGAGCGAAGATCTGTTCTCTGCAGATCTGAGGCCAAGTCGTCACATCAGTGGAAGATGCTAAGTGTGGCACTCGAGGAGATAATTGCCAAGGCCCACCCACTTGAGGCCCGGCTCTGTTATTACCTTGACAGTGATCTCACCCCCCGATTATCTACTATAGTGCTAGAATAAAATCGGGGGGGAGGGTTCAAGCGTTGCCCTGATGGGTTCAGCCATGGTTTACGAAGGGGGTGGGGGGTGGGGGTGTCGTGGGTTCATAAGGCCCTGAAAAAACAGCTATAACATGACGTACCCTTTCTAAATATTTTATTGAATAAAATGAGGTAGGGTGGGGATGTCAGTATATAAGAAGCATGTGTTGTTATCTTTCATACTCTTCACTCTTCACGCAAAGAAGTACAAAGATGGAATCAACGATATGAAGGTCAGAAAGAAGAACAAAGGGAGCATGTCCGTGAACAGTATACACACAATGGGTGTATATATACATATATACAGATCTGTCTATATATATATATATATATGTGTGTCTTTGTGCGCGCCACCATGTTCTATGTTTTTCAACTCTACAACTCCCTCCTACCCCTCTACATCCCTTTGCAAAGGATGGCCTCCCAGAACGCAGCCACGAGGACGTGATACCAAGCACTGGAGCTATGAGTAGCGTTTTTTGGTGGTTGAGCCTAGTAA